TTCTTCGTCCGACATTTTGTTTTTCTCTCCGCGACCACGTTTTCTAATTTTCACCAAATTTCTCAGTTATTATAGTCTATACATGTACATACCATTCACTATTCGTTACTTCTGAATCCAGTTAACTTCTGACACCATGTTTTATTATGTTGTTTATTCATAAAATAGAACGTAAGCAGTAATACAAATGGTTTAATATCGGTGATACATTACAGACTCGTAGGCCATTGGCAAGCTTCTAGAACAAGAGTGATCATAATCACGTGTCTCTCGTGATGACGTCATATAGCGGGAAATACAAACTTGTTATCTAACAGTACATAATACAACAATAAGATCTTAACGTATTGTTATCGAAGGGCAAAATCATTCAGATCGGACACAGACTAACAACTTTGCGACTTGACTATTTCGGCACAGTGGCGTTTGACTCCACCACTTTAAAATTTCATTATCATTTTACATAGGGAACGAATGGCCTATGGCCCTATGGAAAATTATTTGGCCCCCTAACCTGATGTTTCCACTATTTCAGCATGCATCCACAACATTGGATTGATATAGGTATGCACACAAAGCAAACTAATATATGTAAGCTAATCTCTGTATGATCAATCATTGAACAATATGAGCATTCTAACGTTTTAAAGATTTCGTTCTGGGCGAGCCTCTTTAAATACTAATATATTTAACTATCTTATAATGAATGTATGATTACAGGAAATTTGGCAAGTCTTCAGAAGATTGTTAGAGTAGAATGATAAAATCATTTTCTATCCTGATAAACTCATAGTGTCGGCGTGAAGCCAACCAAACAGTTGTCGAAAATACATCAATGAAGAACTGAATTTGTTTTAGCTATTTTGTGAACAGTAGTCTCCTGTCATACAATGTTCAGTCCACAATAAAAGACAGAAAAACAACCCAAACCACTAAATATTTCAATAGAATCAAATGTCTCGAACCTCTAGTCGGGGTTCTCGGGTTTGCTGGGGGCTCCAATAAAACAACGGATTTCAGAGATAAATTTTGGGCATTTAGAGGGCTTAATTTTCGCTTCAAAATAAGATCTTTCGCGGTCTTGGGGGAGGTGGGCGGGGTTCTTTATGGTCCCTACATACGCCTACATATGCCACTTGCGTCACTGAGATTTGGCTCACTCTGATAGAAGGGACATTGGGACCTTTATTATTCAAGGCACAGTCCAATCTTACATACTGATTTCTGCTCCCTATTGATCCGTTGGTCGTATTGGGGTCATTGTCATTAAAAACAGTTAACATCAGAGCGAAAATTGATCAAGCGATAATTAAAACTTTCAAAATTGTGCTTACGAATTGTGTCTTTCGTACAAAATAGTCACTTTTAATTCCATGTGGATATTAAGCACGCAGATACCACAATTGTTTCGGTTTCCAGACGAAAATCTTTTTCACCAAAAAGTTCATTTTCATCGAGGTAATCCGTAGAAAACTCAGCCGAAGGTTCGGAATGGAGTAATCAATAACCAATCAACGCCAATCAGTGTCACTCAACATCAAAGGGAATTTAAGTTTCCGAATTGGTGATAGCGATTATCTGTTTCAAACTAGGTAACCAATGAACTAGCACAGTATTTGTTCTGAAACTGGTTTACATGTTATTTTCCAATCTAAATAAGTGTAACTTATGAAAACAGCTCACGCGGTCCATTGTCTTCTCTGATTTTTTTTCTCGCGAAACGGACACATTTATGCACGTACCACAAAATGGTCAATGTTCCGTCTGAATAACATCATTTAAAAGCAGCGATAATCCATTCACATTCTTCTGATTTTGTATTGTTAAGGGCTGTTTTTACTCCTGACTACAGTCTTTTACAATTTACATTCTTATCAAAACGAAATTTTCAATGGTTCGGAGCCGCGATGGCTCGCTTACATGAAGATCCAGTCTTCAATCCCGCCATAGATTCCAAATAGACCACATGAAGAGCTTATGATACTTATAGTTGTCCACCAACCAGATAAAAAGCAAGAAGGGTCAGTACGGGAGATGGAAACTGGTGCAATTAGTAAGGTACACCTATGCAATTCGGCATATTCTATTCCAGAACAGGCTTCTTCGCAATGATATTGAATGAATCTTATTTGTAACCTCCTATCACTTGGATTGATTACGATCGCTTAATTGTTTTTCATACTCTTAAATGAAAGGTAATCGATACGCCATTTTATGCTCTTATAAAAACCCTTTGCCATCTAAAGAATAAGGATTGGTTCACTAATGTTGGCTAAACTTGCTAAAGTCCTTGTAAGCGATAAACCACATATCATCAATAAAACTGTAAGACTTCGTGGCAGATTAACAACTTTGTTGTATTGTCGATTTGGTCTAGTGTCTTAATCAAGGCACAACAAACGTAAGTTGGCGTAGGTTATAATGTCCGACAGTCTACTCGAGAACGCACGCGCGTTTTACCGGATATTGGATTGTTTACTTCCGGTAGAAAAGGTGCCAAAATGAATTTAGAATTATTAGGTAAATAAACGTTATATTTTAACATTTTGTAAGACTTTTTTTTACATCTTAGAATATTTTTCATCTGAAAAACCAATATCTTTATTTTATTTCAGAATCATTTGGCCAGAATCATCCTGAGGTGAGTTATCTACTTGCAAGTTTCTTTGTTATTGTTGTCAATTTTGACATTTTGACACCGACGACCGACCCTCCAAATGCGCATGGCCCTTTTCTTTTCTTGATTCTATGACATCTTTAGTCTGCTTTATGCATCTTCGTACATTCCTTGTTGTTATACAGTGGTGTAACCTATTTTCGTGGATATAAGGATTCAACACCAAATTTAGTTAAAACAACGAAAAAAAAAATTTATGTCCTAGATGTTTCCTCAGATATTCTACAAAATAATTAAAATTGGTTTCTTTTGATTTTCTTTATGAATCCTTCACTTTGACCCATATTTCATGAGCAAGCAACTCAGCAACGGCGGCAGAATGCGTCACCTATTTTCGTGTACAATGTTTGATCTATAAATAAGTCTAGAAAAACAAGTTGTATGGATGATACCGGGTGGTATAATTAACTTCTCTTAGTATTTATCTTTAATATCAATTCATTATAACTAGTGACAATTCCTTCAAAGAACCACGATTTAAAAAAAAAATAGAGACTGACAAAATATGATACGTAGCGTCATTTATCGCTAAAAGTCACTGAAACAACATAAGAATATGGCCCACTTTGTGTTCCATAGAAATTTTCTGCTGACACGGAATCCGCTAGTTGATCACGTGACTTCATTCTTTGGAATATATTCTAGCAGACGACACTTGGAATTCCGATTACCGCTTGGGATTATAAGAAAATTCGGCCGATAAAAAATGGTGACGTTTGGTAATAAGTGAAATCCGCCATTTTGTATTGGTCAAAATATACATTAATACATTTTACCTTGCTTGAAACTACTGAATTCATTCTACAAGCTGATATTGTAGAGAAAACCCATGTTTATTATAACAAACTAATGCGGAGGTCGCGCAAGGTCGCTCATGTAAATTATTAATCCTTTCCGGAAATCCACGAATAATAGGTTTCCACGAAATTAGGTTACTCGACTGTAAACGAATGCAACATTCATACTTCATAGTCATAATCACCATCCGTCAAATCCTGATAGCATTGAGTAGAGTTTCAAAAGGACTTTGTTTGAATATCATGATGTTGTAAGTCAGAAAGTTCTGTGCCAATGTTAATATCATAATTACTTATCTTATGAGTCTCACTATAACTATATATATACAATATACAAACATGGAAAAAGGGTCTAGTCATTTGGAAAAGACAATAAACCAATGCTCTGTTTGCTACAGGCTGTTGGAAATAAAAAAACAGAGACTGCTTTTCTGGCAAAATTATCCTCATTGCACACTGCATGGCATCACCCATCTTCAATAGCTCAATAAGGTGCAGAAGAGTAGAATATAATACTTCATTCATTTCTTTAATAACTATACAATTTATGAAGCTCAGAGACATTAATAGAAGGCCTACAGTTTATTATTGTATGCAAAATTTAATGTATAGTATATTTCATTAAAGATTACATTCTTTTCATTATGTGCCTCTTTTCTCTAGGAATTTGATGGAACATTAGATTGTGTTAGTATTGCCATAACTTGTGCTTTTAATCGTCATGGTACCCTATTAGCTGTTGGTTGTAATGATGGAAGGATTGTTATTTGGGATTTCCTCACACGAGGCATTGCTAAAGTTATTAATGCACATGTTCATCCTGTTTGTTCCATAAGGTAAGCATTATCAAGCACTATAGGCAGTGAGAATGAACCAATAAAAGTACAATGAATTAGTGAAATTTTTTATATTACAATCATATTGATCAAAAGTGGCATCTCATAATCATTTTGTACCAGTGCTTTATTTTAAAGGGAATGGATCCTTGCATCAAAGGGTGTGATAAGCTTTTGAAAAGTATAACAAATAATTTTGATCACCTGTTCATAATTCTATGTTAGACTACCTTACAAAACCAAAGTATAATCAGAATATATTTGTTTGTTTTTAGTTGGAGTCGAGATGGTCACAAACTACTCAGTGCTGCTACTGATAATACTGTTTCACTGTGGTCAGTGATGACTGGTGATTGTGATAAAATATTCAGATTCCCTTCTCCTGTTTTGAAAGTTCAGTTTCATCCTCGAGACAAGTAAGTCTTCTATTTCATAGCTTTTGAAAGAAACGAAATTGTTATTTGCATAAGTTAATAAAACCTAATGTTGTATTTTCAGCATGGATACTAAAATTTTATGTGAAGGAAGGACCAAATATTCTTGAATACCAGTTCATTCATGTGAATTTTAAAGTGCCTCTTATTGTACTGAATATGTTACATTTTCAGTGCCAGGTTTTTGGTATGTCCTATGAAACATGCTGCAGTGTTTATGAATGTAAATGGAACTCATCAAACAGTACCTCTTGATGATGATGTAAGTTGCACTTCTGCTCAATGAATATCTAGATAGGGTAGTTCTTCACAGTGTCCAGCTATTATGACACTATTATCAAGGAAGATTGTAAATGCAGATATAATAAAACGTATTATTTCCTCTTTGATGTATACCCCTCTTATTTTCTCACCCAAATAATCTATTTTAGTCTGATTTAAATATTGTGGCATCATTTGATAGAAGAGGAAAATATATTTATACTGGTAATGCTAAAGGAAGGGTAAGTAGGATTTATTTTGGGGCATTAGAGGGAGATAATTTGTCAGTTTCAAAATAACAAGAGTTATTTGAAATCAGCACACAGACTTTCAATTTATTTTAAAGTCAATGTTTGCCTTGCCATTAATATCAATTTCTTTATAACTTCTGAATTATAACTTTCTAATTTTCAAATTTTTTACCACTAGTTTAACTACTTGTAGACTTTTTCAAATGGACTAAGTACCATTTATCTCAGTTTTGATATTAAGAATTATATGCATAATGAAATCATGCAAAGATCCATGATGAAAGCTGTTTAGTCCAAGTCGAAAATTACAGCGTCTTTGCTTCTTTGGATTCTGACAAGATATTTTTATTTTCAATTATTAAAATAATGAAATTTAACTTTCATCTATTTCAGATATTAGTATTCACAATAAAAAAATTAGAAATTGTAGCATCATTTAAAGTTACTACTGGTACTCTTAATACAACAGCTATTAAATCTATAGAATTTGCTCGGAGAGGAGAGTATGTACAATTTATGAATTTTTTCTTTTATTTGTTACATCTTCATGTATTTATGGTAGGGCTGGGTGATATATTTACTATGTACTAATTAATAGTGAAATACAAATCAGAAGATACTTGAATGCTGGACTGTTTTTCTTGTCTCAGAGGAGTGAGCGCATTGTGTCAATCTACCTCAGAAGACACACCCATTACACTTCTTATTAATGATAAAATGCAAATCAGAAGATACCTGAATGTGACATGGAAAAAGCGTCTAGTCATTTAGATAGGACAATAAAGATCCCTCGACAGTTCAATCAAAAAAGAGTAGGTTAATGCTGCTGTCCTGGCAAAATTACCCTTATTGCACACTGCTTGGAATTGCCTTTCTTCATTAGCTCAATTAAGTGCAGAAGAGTGGGACAATAATTAATTTCATTTCCAATATGTGTTTGGATTTCAGTTGTTTTCTGGTGAATTCTGCAGATCGTATTATCCGTGTATATGAATCTGGTGAAATTTTAGCTTGTGGTAGAGCAGGAGAACCAGAACCAATACAGAAATTACAAGATTTAGTTAACAAGTAAGCTATAGACAAATAAAGAAGTATTGTTCTTTGAATTTCATGTAATATGCCATATCCCAGACTAACGAGCCCTAGGGGCTTAATCTCAAAAACTTAACTATGATAAAATCCAGATTTTAAGAAATTTTGGC